TAATAATGCTAAATATGTTAATAATGTTATTAATTATCTATTTCATTATTAATAATAATAGTAATAATAATAATAATAATAATAATAATAATAATCTTAATTCTACAGACAAAACAGATTACTGCTACGATCATAATAAAAACATATTAAAATCATAATGTACAGATTTGAAAAAATGAAAAGAGGAGAGTTTATACATATAAATATGTATATACAGCGAATCATAGGAATATTCGTACCTGCTTCCACTATATATATAAATTTTAAATAATTAATATTTATTTATAATGCAAAGCTTCAAAATTATTACACATAGAAACCTATTTTAGGATTATTAAATATAAATATAAAATATAAATTTTATTACGAAACATTTTATTATTAGAGAAATATAATTTTACTTAAATAATAAAAGATTGGTATTACAAAAATATTTGTACTTTCATAAAATATAAAAATACAATTATTATTTTTGTAAGAAGAGTACTTGGTTGATCTTTCCTTGCATCTTTTATAATGCTTTTGAGACGATTGAGTATATCTTGTGAGACCAATTTTCTTATTAGTTATGTAAAATATTACTTTTCTTGTAATTAAATGTTCTTTTACAATAAAATTTATATCAATTTAAGTGTTTAATAATCCTAAAATATGCTTCTGTGTAGAAGAATTTTGAAATATTGTGTTACAAGAAAATATTGATTGTTTTAAATTAACAGTGGTGGTACGAATACTCCTGGGATTCACTGTATGGATAAATTATATGTATATATTATAATATATAAAAATAAAAATGTATAATATGAACCGAAATATGTAATATATACGTATGTATTACATATTTATAAAAACTTCACACTCTTTAAAAGATATAATAATTATTTTAAGTACATATAAATATGTATACATATTGTAAAAAATATCATGTTATGCATAACTGCAATTAGTTGAAAGTTTAAACGTTGGTAATCATTCAAATATAATATTTTACTTTACTTATTTAAAAGCATATTACTTTAATCTCAGTTAAAACTTATGTATGCTTCAATTAATATTTTTTATTCAAATATATTGTGAATATAATACAGGCTTATCAAATAAATAAATGAATTCTGTTATAATATTAAGATAATCATGTTTTTATAGGGCAGCTGCTTATTGTAGATAAGAATATGTATATGGATAAACGATAGAATATTAATCTTTAATAAAGCGATTTTTTGTAAATAATGAAGATCTGATATCATTGGAGCTACAATAACTTTACTAAAAAAAAAGTTAATTTATTAAAGAAGAACACACATTGCATGTAATTATTTTCTTTTGTAAGCAATGGTGAAAGTAATTCTCATTTTGTATGTACAATTATATGTCGTATTGTCAACGATATAAATGAGAAGTAGAATTCCTAATTAAATTCAAATTTTATGTAAATATACTACGAGATGCATAGATTATAGCACACTAATTAAATAAATATGACATCACGTTTGATATCAGGTTTTTTATATAAAAGAAATCATTTAAAAAATGTTTCTATATCAAAAAGCGTTGTATATACATAAACATATGAATCATATTAATACATCTTGTATTTGTAATGTATTGGTTCAAACATTATTATTATTATTATTATTATTAATATTGTATGTTATAGGTCAAAAAATATAATACACATAATAATACATAAAAGAACATATTTTCGTGAGATAATTTAAAATTTTACAATTTTCACAGTTTTGTTATTTGTGTGAATACTCTTATCTTTATCACTGGTTACATCCAAAGATTCTAAAGAACCATCCATAATTTTATCTACCGTTATTACAGATTCTTCTTTTTCTTTTATTAAATCCGGACAATCTTTTTTCAAATGCGTAACATCCCCACAAATCTTGCAAGCTCCTCCATCGGGATAGATTCCTCTAGGATTATCGGGACATTGGTTGGAAATATGTCCTTGTTCACGACAAATAAAGCAAGTCGCATATCTGTACTCTGGAGCTTTGTTTACTTTGCATTCGAAATGAGTATGTTCAGTTGACCCACACTTATAACAAATCCCTGTTCCAGATTGTTCATTTGCAAGCTCAGGACAATCTGATAAATTATGACCGGATTTACGACAGTGAAAGCAAACGTGTTTTTTAGCACGTGCCAATTCCTTCTCAGCTTTTCTTCTTTCCAATTTCATTGCACTATCAATTTCTGACTTAGGTATACCTAGAAATAAAAAATTTACTTTATAATCTATCATTGCAATATTTAAGATAGATTTTTTTAGTATTTACATACCTTGCATTACCATCTTTTGTCGTAATTCTTTTAATCTCTCCGCATCTTCTTTTTTTACTGGAAATCCATCATATTTGACTATCTCTACTTCTACACCATTAAACATCATTTTTATAGCTCCGCAGTCAGGCTTTCTTCTTTTATGTTCTAGATCATCTCTAATTTTTGGAGGTTTCCTCTTCTTAACCGGTTTGCTCATTCTATCATTATTATATTGATTAACTCTATTGTTGAAGTTATTTCCATTAGAATAATTTCTACTGAACCTTTGAGGGTAATTAGTGTTACTGCGCTTTGAATCATGAAAATCAGTATTATTATTTTTAGATTCTTCCTTGTTAGTAGAAGTTGTAGTAGTTGAATCAGATAGACTCTTATTTTGTCTTTTCATATTACGCTTTTGTCGTTTGCTTAAAACTTGGTGCGATTGTGAAGAATTATTTTCATTATCTATTACCTTTTTATCTGAATTATCATTATCTTTTACTTGGGTTTCTGATTTATTCTCGTTGTTAATATGTTTTTTCTTTTCTTTCTTTTTGGGTATCGTATCTTGATTTACATTTTTATTGGATTTATCATCATCGAAATTTGCCCAGCTAATGGTTGCTGTATTATCAGTTTCTTGTTTTTCACTTAAAAGTTCTTTTGCTGTTTTTACCTTTTTTTCTGTTGTTTCATTTTCGGTTAATTGCTGCTTCATAATGTGCCATGGGGTAGCATCGTTTGGCAAACGCTCATTTGATGCCTTGGCACCCTTCGCTCTTGTATACCTTGTCATGATCTAAAATAAAATAAATAAAATTATATAATAATTATTGTAATTATACTATATATATATTATATATAATGTAATATAAATATTATAAAAATTATATATCTTATATAATATAAATATATAGACATTAAATATAAAGTCATTAACATAAAATATTAACAAAATTAACTTTTTTCAAATTTTATTTTATTAAAAGGTAATAAATAAATGTACTTATATATATACACATTAGATATTTATTATTTTTATATAAAAATAGATGTAAACAATGGTATAACCTAACTGTTCACACCACGTGTCCACGTCGTAAAAGTTAGACGATAACTGGTAATAATTTAGTTGAAATTTTTCAAATTAATTACTAATGATATTACAAATTTTTAAAAATTCGTAAAATATTTTACAGTATAAATAAAAACACAAAATGTTTATATAATATTTCACTTTATTGTTGCTAAGAATTTGGTAAAAGTTTAGTGCAACTTGATGTCTCTGCTAGCACTCTACACTTCTTCTAGTACACTTACTGTGAAATACTTCGCTGCTGTTCGTATACACTCATATATAAAGCAAAATAATACAAATTCAATTAAAAAGTTATTTCATTACTAATAAAGAATATTTATAATAAAAAGGTATATACTAATAATAAAACTTTATATTTAGTATTCCTTTCGTTATCTTTACATTAAAGTTAACCTTTTTTTCTATCAATTAATTAATGGAAAATATTGATAAATTATGTTCTGTACAATAATAGCATTACAAATCTTTTTTTTCAATTTACCTTAATACGTGTATTACAGTTCTAGGATAATTCTGAAAATAGATTTACTATAATGGTATTTAATAAAAATTATTAAGTAATAATATACTGTATTGTATCACTAAACATAATTATAATATCAGCATAATGATATTAAAATGGTATGTAAACATGCATACACATTTAATATTTATAATTCAATTCATAATATTAAATATATATTTTTTAGGTACCATTCTTATTCTGCTCTCTTTAGATACGCAATAAAGCAAACAGTTGATAAAAAATTGTCAACGATAGCTAGTGTGAATAAAAGCCCGAATGAGTTAGAACTATTAGGACAAAAATATGTGGTTGATAATTGGACAAATATCACACCACAGATTATTTCAAAATTAGGACGTAATTTACACATTACTCAATATCATCCATTGTCTCATGTACGTCAGCGGGTGGTCAATTATTTTTATAACAGTTATCGTAATAGAACTGGAACCCCATTGTTTAGCGTACATGACAATTTAAATCCTATAGTCACGGTCTCACAAAATTTTGATTCTTTACTCGTTCCAAAAGATCATCTTAGTAGGAAAAAAACTGATTGTTATTATATTAATCAAGACACTTTACTGAGGGCTCACACGACTGCACATCAAGCAGAACTTATTTCAATGGGATTAAATAATTTTCTCATTGTTGGAGATGTATATCGTAGAGATGAGATAGATTCTACTCATTATCCTGTTTTCCATCAAATTGACGCTGTTAGAATATGTACTAAAGAAGAAATATTTAAAAATGTTCATGGTTCTGGAGATTTAAAGTTATTCGATTCTAGAGAAGAAGAAACTGCAGAAAAACAAAGATACCATACGTTAGAGTCTGTCAAAATCATGGAACATCAATTGAAAAGTACTTTAACTGGTTTAGCTAAGGCAATTTTTGGACAAGGTATAAAATAAATTTATTTAAAACAAAAATAATGTAAATATTATAAAAATTTATAAGAATTGTTTTGGTAGATGTAAAATATCGCTGGGTTGATCAGTATTTCCCATTCACTCATCCATCATGGGAATTAGAAGTTTTCCATGAAAATAAATGGGTAGAATTATTAGGCTGTGGTATTATAAGACAAAGTATTCTAGACAAATCAGGAGCAATGGATCGCATGGGTTGGGCATTTGGAATGGGTTTAGAACGTTTAGCTATGTGTCTCTACAATATACCAGACATAAGATTGTTCTGGAGTACTGACACTGGTTTTTTGAATCAATTTAAAGTAGACGATGTTAATACACAGATACAGTACAAGGTATAATAAATATAAAAATATATCTGAGAAATATATTGTGCGTAAAAAATATTGACTATAAAATAAATATTTACAGGCCATCAGCATTTATCCACAATGCAAAAATGACATAAGTTTTTGGTTACCAGAAGATAAAGAGTATACATCAAATAATTTTTACGAGCTAGTCAGAGAAATTGGAGGTGATATTATCGAACAAGTTATATTGACTGATGTATTCACGCATCCTAAAACCAAAAGAATATCTCATTGTTATACAATAGTTTATAGACATATGGAACGTACATTATCAAAAAGCGAAGTTAATATTGTTCACCGTAAATTAGAAAAAGCTGTAACCGACAGATTTCATGTTACTGTACGATAAAAAATAAATGAAGTTTTATGATTTACATAGTTTAATAAATGCCAATGCAATTTATAATATATAATACTCTAGAGGAAATAAGATGATAATAAAATGGAAGGAATATATTTTTATTTATGCATAAATTAATTATAAATGTTATCATGGAACAAACAATATTTATCTAGGAACAACTATATCATCTATAGTGTTTTATTAACATTATGATTATTAACAATTACAAGTAGCTCCTGCATGCATGTTTAACATATATTTGTATACAAAATGTTCGCCAATCTTAGATTTCATTTAACAATGTAAGGAGTAGTAAACGAGAAGATGTTTAATGCAATTAACATTTAAATATTTTGTTTCATTCGATTTAATTCATTGCACAAATAAAGTCTAGCTTAATTGATAGAGTATGCATTAGTTTACAGCAAGTTAAATAGCGAAAGGCAATTTTCTTACTATTTTAGATTAATCACAGACTGTTATCTCCAATTACCAGTTTAGACAGATAAAATATTATACATGATACATATTTTATAATAATCCATAAATTTCAATAACTGTAACTTAAATAGCATTTATTTAAAAAAATTAATCGATCTACAAGTATTGAATGAAATATTGCCTTACTCTTACCATGCCATACACATATATATTTAATAAATATATTAAATATAAAAATATTGGAAAATATTTTTGCTAATGGCAAATATAAATATAATAATAAAATCAAAAATATAGAAAAATAGATCAAAATTATAAATTGCCATGCAATCTTATACGATAGAAGACTCGCATGGAAGAAAAGATTTTATTTAATTTTCTATAAACTAATAAATAGATTCATTACGTAACCACAGAACAATTATCAGTAATATTGACATATAAAAATGCAAGTTCTGTACTAAACTTTTTCTTTTCGATGAGATTCCTGTTCTCAATTAGAAATTAAATTAGCATTATAAATTTTTTAAGCAAATATAAATAGCATCGTGTTTAAAGCAATAATTGAAATTACATTGAACTTGTTGTTTTTTTAATCTTTTTTTTCAGTCGATTTTAACTAGGACAGCTCTGATTGACTATAGATATTGATGTAATAAATATCCAATATAATTTACAACATTGAAGAACTTTAAGTTCTGCAATTCATATCTTGAGATATATATATATATATATATATATTATATATTAATATATATATATATATATATTAATATTATTTTTTGCTTAGAATTTATACAAAAATAGTTAGTGGATAAAATGGTGCATATACCTTTTTTGTGTAAAATTTTCAACAGCATTTTGAAATCGATCAATCAAATTGATAATAATATGAAAAAATAACCGATATACAAACATGAATACTTTTTTTCTCTTGCTGTTAGTTTTATATATATATAAATTAATGTTTTATCGTTTGTAATACTTTTGGTATAATAAGATTGATATATGTACTTCATGACAATTTGGTGTAACTCGGTGGGGAGAATTTTTTTCTTAAAAACTTTAAGATATACAGTGGCATACAGGAAACTAAAGTGATGACTAATACTTTCCATAAGAAATCAGTTGTCTTGATAAACTCGGCATCTGTTTTAAGAGAATGTAATAAAATTATAGATAATTATTATAATTAATTAACCATTTATAAGTCCCAAGCAGCATTTCATGTGGAAAAGATCCACAATATTTGATCATCATAAGCGACTGACAGTGCATTAGAATCCTGCATAAGTCAGTGCGCTTTAGTTTACTGTTACTTGTCAGTCAGATTAATAAAAAAAGAATACGATAACGTTGCTTAGATCTTTCCACAAGATTTTTCCCGAGACTTAAGCGGTTAATTGGATTAAATAGAAAAAAATTATATAAATAGGAAAATTATACTTACCAAAATAATCTTTTAGAACGACTAAAGATAATAAATACAGTGCTAAAGAAAAGATCTCTGCTAAGATCATAATATGATGCCATGTTCTAATCGTTAAGGCAACCATTATTAATTCTGTTAAAACCAACGCAGAAAAGCTAATTGCTACTATGTGAATGAATTCATCTTCGAACATAATAAGTGCACCATACATTATTACTCCTCCTGAAAAATTAAATTTTTATACAATAATTATATTTTATTTATACACTTTATGTTAAATTATTATTATTATTGCATACCTTGGTATATGCTTATCAATACCCACATAAAGAATGTTTTATAAGAAAGTGATCGACCCTTACTGAGTTCTTTATAAAGCTCTGGATAAGTAAGCGCAATTTTTCCTGACACATCTTTATCCAATACCAAAGAAAAAACAGGAAACATTGTATATATCGTAGCATATCTGTAAATATTATTTTATAACATATTTAATATTTTATCACAAGTATATAACGAAAAATCATGTATATGTATACAGACTTACCCAACCATAAGAAATCCTTGATATAAGGCAACCGAAGAAAGATAAAATACGGCTGAAAATACGGCTTGCATTGTCGAAATAATTAAACCTCGGTGAATTACAAATTGACTCAATGCAGCTGATCGTTTATAACTTCTTCTACCGTGAACTAATAATAAATGAGAAAGATGATTAAATTGTGAGATAGAAAAATCTGCAGCTAATGAAGCTTGACGACCTTCAAGACCTTCAAGGCCAATACCTACAAAATATTCAATTATTAATATGTGAAATAAATTATATTATTATATATTATATATAAAAATTATGTTTATGTGTACCAGCATCAGCAGCTTGTATCATAGATACATCATTACCACCATCACCAACGGCAGCTGTTCTTTTACCAGTATGTCTTTGTATTAGACTGACAACATCAGCTTTTTGTGTAGGTGAACAACGGCAACAAACAACAGCAGGTGACCCACATGCAAGTTCCAAAAATTCTTGTTCATAATATTGTAAGCATACATCTAATGAGTCACCGCTGATAACTAAGGCACAATCTTGTTTTTTACGGAAAGTATTTAGTTCTAAATGCGCATCAGTTCGCGTAAGAACAGATTTAAAAACATGAAGTCCTTTCGTACGTGAAACCAATAAAGAAGATTTTGCTATACACGTTGCTGTTTCTAATTTGTCGCCAGTCAACATCCATACCTGAAAATATAAATCGAATTACAATAGAATATTATTTTTATACATCTAATGTATTATTTTTTAAGTGCATAATATTCTTGCCTTGATTCCTGCGTTTCTTAATAATTCCAATGTTGTTCTCACTCCATCTTGGAGTCTATCTTCTACACCAGTTACACACAACAATTCCATTTCACGTTCAAGACTTTCAACGACAGCTGTAACTCTTGAAACACGATCGCTAACATACATTCTTGCAGCATTATATCTATGAAGAAGATAAAACGTATGTAGAGAAAAATAAATTAATCTTATATTAACGAATATATATATATATATATATATTATAAAACTTATTTCTTTTCAAATACTTCGTTTCAAAATCAAGGTATTGTTCTTCCGTCAAATTCTTTTTTGCTACGACCAATGTTCTTAATCCTTCGCGTGCCATATTACCACATTCTTCTTCCAGCCAGTCATTATACTGTACTATTCCAGACATAACGACATCTGCACCTTTTAAATAAAATACAATTTCCGAGGTGGCTTCTGATTTGACTATTATACCCATTCTTTTTGTTTCAGAAGTGAATGGAAATATCTGTAGTATAGTATAATTTAACAGTTTTCCATTAGGAGCTTTCAATTGCATAGAATTTAAATCACGTTTGACCAAAGCTAATCCAACTTCTTCTGTCCATTTAACTAAAGCCACTTCGTCCGGACTTGAAGCTTGGTAATTACGTTTCTGCTCAGGCATGTAATAATGCTGATCAGCTTCTGCCTGACTGAAATATAAAAACAATAAAAGTAAAAGTGTATGTGATAAGAATTATATTTTTATTTTTATTTTTATGAAATTTTACCTTTGAATAGAACCAGTATCTCCAGTCTCTCCTGTTTCTACACTCACTGAATCCAAATTAGTAGATACACTGACTTCATCATAAACTGGTGTAACGTTATGACATAACGCTAAAGCATGTACGGCATCATAAATTCTAGTATTTTCAGATCTTCTTACTTTAACGCTATGCACGGGTAGGTTAGTTGGAGAATTTTCCATACTAGTATAGCAGAATTTTAACACAGATGTTACTTCGTCGAACGCTTCCTGAGAATACGATATTGTCCCCATGTGTAATTTTTTAAAAACCATTTTATTTTGCGTTAATGTTCCAGTCTTATCACTCAAAAGGTAGGATATACGACCAAGTTCTTCTGGAATTGTAGTTGTTCTTACAACCGTACCAGCAATGTCTTTATCTCGTTGTATGCACCAAGCATAAAATGCTTTCCCAATATCCAAGTTTACTCTTAAACTGATTGGTATAATATAAGAAAATAATAAAACAAAACGGAACATATAACGATACCAAGGACCATTAAATCCTTTTAAACACATCATGACCAATGCAAGCCCAATAACTGCACAAAATAAGACCTATAAAATCATATTAAAATAGTACTCGTGACGAAGCAAAAATAAAACATTTATAGATTTATTTATTATACATTAAATACCTTAGTCAATTGATTTATTTCTTGATCAAGCAAGCCAACTTTCGATCTTGGTGCAGAATGATTCATTAAAGATCTTGTTTCTTGTCCAGTATAAACGACTATCCCAAGTGCAGATCCGGATGCTACAGCAGTGTTAGCCCATAAAGTATTATCAACTCCCAAACTTTCTTCGCTGCTGTATCCATCATACTGTAAATATAACACATATATAAATACAATTCTCAAATTGGAATCAATTTGGAATACTTACACGTGTAAATGTACCAATGAAACTATGAATATCTTTTTGAGGTTTTTCAACATATAAACTTGCTTTTATATCAAACAGTTGGGAATGATTTTCTAACTTTTGAGTAGCCGGTATCGCCAATCTTAATTTCCAATCTGTTTCTCCATCTAATTGATCGGTTCTTACAAAACATGCGCCTGATTTTTCTGTTGTACGTAACAATACTAAATCCGCTGGTACTCTTTGACCTTTTTCTACAATCACCTGTTAGAGAAAACAATAATATAATTATATTTTCACCTTTAATTTAATAAGATAATTAAAATAATATTTGTTTGTAAATTTAAATGTCGTACCAAATCGCCAACTCGTAATTTAGAACTTGGAACTAATTCCGGTATATCCAAACCTTTGACCAATCTTTGATATTTTTGAGCATTGACTTCCTTGTCTCTTTTATATCTTCTGAAATCATCTATGGCTTCTCGGCAAATGGTTACGGTCAAAACGAAACATAATGGTCCCCAATATGTATATAAATATCCTATTCTTATGTCCGGTATAAATTGAGATATCGCCATGAGCAAAAAGTAGAGATTAAGAAAGAATTTAAATTGCTGAAAGAGAACCTAACAAAAACAAAGACACAAAAAATTATTCATTGCGATTACAAACAAATTTCATATAATTATATTCGTTGTACAATAACAATATTTACCATAGGTAAGAAAGTAACAACATTATATTTCTGATTTCGTATTACATTGGTAGGAAATTTTTCATACATGGGTTGACCAATATGAATAACTCTTGCCCTTAATTCTCGTTCTCTGCAACATCTTTTCCACATCCACGTACAACATCTGTAAATAATTAAAATAACGATGCGTATACAAAAATTTCCTTCAAAATACATTGGGTCAATTATCATGAAAATTTATATATACAGAGTATCCTGTAACTTGTGATACAAGCGAGCAGGGGACAATTCTACATAAAAAGTTTAGTCAAAAATGTGAAATAAAATTTGTTCGCATAAGGTTTTATTTTCGAGTAAAATAAGTTTAAAAATGTCAAGTATGCATACACTTGATTCAGTTTTAGCTTGACGAATTTCACCATTTCACTTTCGAATATTTCGGTTATATACTATTTGTGCTTCTATGTTTACAAACATTGTTAGTATAATAATGTCTCTAGTATCGATTCTATTCTTATGTTTATCGAACGAAACTTTTAGTAGTTTCCAGAATTACAAGCTTAGTCAAGTGCACTTATACTCGACAAATTGTTAAATTAATTTTTATCGAAAATGAAGCCTTATATGAACAAATTTTATTCTATAAATTTCACTTAGTTTTTCATGTAGAATTATCCCTTGTTCATTTGTACCATTAGTTACAGAATCCCTTGTATATAATGGCATATAAGTTATAAAATCACTAACAATAAGTTTTTACTTATATTTATCATCTTGCCAGCTGAAATAAAAGTTTTGAAATATTATCATTTGACAATATCTAATTATACCCCTATTAAATTAGTCATAATATATATATGTACTTATGATTAAGTGGATGTATATATCTATATTATATGTCATTTAAAAAACATATCACCTTGTCCACGAATTACTATTTCGTGGTCTTGATATTAACGGTATGTCTTCTTTCGAAAGTCTTATTACGTTGCTTTGTGTCTCCATTTAGATATTTTCTTCATGGAATTAATACATGTAATATTTATAATGAAGATATTCAACGAAGAATGCTTTTTTCAGAATACTTATAAATATCGTAGATAATGTTATTCTTATCAACGTCCAACTGGATTTTTGTTATGACATCATTTTGTCAAACGAGGAACATATAATTACGAGAAGATGTAGACCATGTATTCACACGTATATTCGACACATTTACGCAGCAAATATACACTGATTTTATTATTCTATATCAATTAACATTTAAAATGAATTTCTTTTTTATGGTGCAAAAGCAAAAATGAAAAATTGTTATTAATTCTTTCACTGTTTATTAGAATTGTTTGGATGAACTCATTTCTCGAATTAGAAGTGCATCCAAGTTTAATATACCAGCTGAAGTCTGATAAAAATCTCTATCATTGATTTAACGCAGAAAACCAATAGCAGGGAGGATAACGTTGCAAGCTCATAACGCGCAGTTACTTTTACACCTTATTTCAATCACTATGAAATTATTTCTTTCGAAAGAATATGATATTTGGTGAGTATTCATAAATAAAGTAAACGTGTCATTAAATTCTATAGATTTGTTAATTATAAACAAATATATATACAAGAAAAAACAAATTAGGTTATATTAAATTGTATCAAAAAATTCCCTAGAGGTATATACTCAATTTCATTTTTAGAAAATTTACATGTAAATTAAAAATAAAATTACCTATAATTTTTAATTATTAAAACATATAAAGAAAAATTTAAGGTTATATCAAATTGTGATAAAAAATTCCCTAGGCATATATATCAAATGTCATAAAAAGATTTACACATAAAAAAAAAAACTATAAAAATTAATAATATAATATATAATAAATCTTAAGATAGAAATATCTCTCTTAAATCGAAAGACCCGAAATATTAAAATTTATTTTGTTTTCCAACAGAGAACCAAAAGATGAAAGTCATTTATGTTATTACATTTGAATTTGGAAATACATATTATAATAAGCAAACTTATTATATTTTTGTTTACTTACCCGCACAGACTAGTTTTAAGGAACTTGGAACAATTATTAAATCGTCGTCTTCTAGATGTCAAAAGTCGTATACTATCTTCAGGAGGTTGAAGAAGATAATCGGTTTCTTCGTCCATTTCAAAGTCCCGCTCATCCGAACTGAGCCGCAGTGGCATCTCTTCCAACCTCATAACTCTCTTTCTTTCAATAATCACAATATTCAATACGCGTTATTACAATGTTTTTTTTTTATTCTAATCACCCTCTTTCTTTCTTTCTGTTGCTATCTCTCCTTATTAAGAGAGATATTAATAATAATGATAATAATAGTTATTATTATAAGTTTGTCTCTCATACGTTGGTTTATTTCAACGATATATATTAGAAATATTTTAAATAACTATTCCTCTGTTTTGTATCATTAGCTTATGTATTTTATTAACTTTTTTTTCTTACGATGCAACAATATCACGTGACCCAAAGTAACACTCTCATTATCCTTTTCACACATAGTATCTGCTGAGAAATTCTCAACTCATTGACGGAGAGAATTCAACAAAAAAACTGCAGAAGAAGAAGATGAAGATGAAGATGAAGATAAAGAAGAAAAAGAAGAAGAAGAAGAGGATGAAGCTTTTCATTTGCAATAACAGTATCGTTTCTTTTTGTTTTTCATATATCTAAATAATAACCTCATCGTCTTACAAGACGATAACACGATCTATTTAAATGCTTATTGTTCTTTTATCGTCCGACCGAATAATTTATATTTATAATATTATATATTTTCTGCCGGTTTTTTTATTTACAATAAGAAGTAACAATCACATATACACTAACGAGACTGTATCTCTTCCTTCTTGGATGTAGTAGTATGTGTGCAATCGTTTGAGAGACAAGTTATTATTAATCTCAACGTAACGCATTATCTTCTTAGATATTTTTGATTAATTTTTAATATCAGATTACGATGTGTTACAGTGCATTTCCAAAGCGATAATGATGAATTATCTTTTTTATATCTTTTGTTTCTAACTGTTCATTGTGCTTCAAAATACGCGATACCCGCAATACGACGATATATCGTGCACGTCCATATTTGGCATTCTACGATCACGTGTGTGTGCATTTACGCATGCTCCTAAATATTTATTCAGAGTATTACATATCTTTTTTTCTTGATTAGGAATAATTAATATAATTGGACTCTTTATATTATTTTATTAATTATTCTTTTATTATTTAATTATATTTTATTATTTTCATTATATATATATATATATATATATATATATTATTTGTTGACAAACAAAGTTTATGTTACTGGTACACTTGAAATTAACAACAAATTTGTTTCTTTAGTTCACATCCATTATTTGATTAGACTATTTGATAATTTTTAATTAGTGATGTAATAACATTTTGTTCTAATGCTATCTCTTTGTCCTTTACTTTATCTTTTAGGCTTTGAAGCAATTGAGAACAATTTTCTTTTTCGTTGTCCGACATGAAATTTATTGCCAGATTAAATCTGTTACATTTACTTAAAGTTGTTAGAATTTCTATTATTCCTTTCAGTTCTTCTACTTTCAAAGATTCTTGTTTTTGATGTTCAAGACATGTGTTAATTATGTCAGTGAGGTAGAATGGAGGAATCTCGCTATAGAATATTTTATCTTTTAAAATATCCCTTTAAAAAGATTAATTATTATGTAGCTGAGTATATTTCTATCTTTTGCTTTTTCTATAAAGATAGTTATGCGTTACCTGGTATTGTAAAGGTAAAAAAATTTTATTTTACTATCATTAGTATTTCTCCACATTTGGATAAACGTTTTGTAATCTTTTGGAATCGTATTAGCAAATTCATTAACTTTTTCTTCGTTTAATTTTGTTTCATTAGTTTCATACATCAAAGGTAAACATTCTGATCTATGATTTGTGCTCATGGAATTCCACAATGCCAGCGAATTAGATTTAGATTTGGTATCCTTTGGTTCTAAAGCTTTTAAATGTGCTCCGTTTACCTGTTAAATATAAAAAGTATATGTAACATTTATTCTATATTTTTGTTGTTGATAACAGTTCACCATTTGTCTAAAATGTTCATAAGTAGGTACTCCTTGTTCCACTGCTCTGATTTTTGCATCATTCTGTAATTTATATAACTCATCTGCTTTGAGTGCTTCGTACAACTCGTCTTGCAATATTTTATAATCAATTGGTGATTTCAATATACTCATTTTATTGTAATTATTAATACAAATATCAGTTTGAATGTACAGTCAACTCATGTTGAATTGATAGAACAAGTAATGATAACCTATGTTTGGTAAAGATATAGTCTTTATTACCATGGTTACGCTAATTCCAAAACATTTTTCTTTTATGATTTTATCAATACAGTACAAGAATAAGACATTTGCATTTAAAAATATAGATTACAGCATATTTTTCATTGCGTTATAATATTAAGGTTTTGAATATATTATCGAGAATTAGTGTAAAGAATCTCTGGTAATAATGACATCTGTTTCAGATATCAGATTTTTTTCTTTTAGTTTGCTTTGCCTCTTCTTATAGAATCTTTCATGCGTTCTTTTCATTTCAAGGATTTCTTTCATTTCTTCCTTATCTTCCTCCTAAAATAGTTTTAATATTAATCATCGTTGAAACAAGAAAGAACTAAAATTATCTTTAATATTTTTGAATAGAATTTACCGTTTGATTTAAACGCAATACCAATGCTCTTCGACCATCTGACATCGGTTGTGAGTAATCCATTAATTTTTTTAATCTTTCCGCAGGACTCACTCCTCTTTCGACTACCAAAACTATTCGTGCCCACTACAATTTTTGAACAGATGTGATTTTAATCATCAATTCCATATAAAATAATTTGTATGCGTAGTATCAATTTATCATTATTATTACTTTTTTTTTTGTTATTAACAATTTATATATATACCTGTCTTTGCCATTCGTTTCTTGTCTCAGCAATTTTTTGATATGTGTTTCCCATCATAGCGATTAACATATTAACGAGTAAAATTGCAACAATTGCCATATAAATAACAAAAAGAAGCTGTAAAATGGAAATGAATTATTTTACTTGTAAATATTTAATTTGTTCTAGCGTGTGATGAAAATTATTTGAAATGTATAATATGTGCATCATTTAAAATAATTTATCATAAATATTTATGTTTGAGTTTTTAATATTTGTGTTTTTTTTAGCATATGTGGAAATTAAAATGAAGCATGCGTTTTGCGTAATAGTATCATAAAGATGCCAGTTTGAGATCAGTAATATTCTGCATTCTTGCTGTGACATTACCTTGGCCTCCATTTCATGTTCTGTTCTTTCAAACGCTCCATAGTAATCACCGAAATTCGTCATGCTCATAAGAAACATTGCCATGACACTCTCCATTGGAGATGGCATCGGATTAGTTGTTGAATCGTCGACGCCGTCTGGCGTATTAGGATTGTCAAAGGATAAGAATATGATGTAATAAGCTAGAATTATAAAAAAAATAACATACTTGTTATTTTACAGTTAACATTATTTCTTTCAAATATAGAAAGGTCAATTACGGAAACGTTCTCTGTGACTTTTTCTAATTGGAATAATGATTATTTATGTGTACAGATATATATAGACGAAATTTTTTCTAAGAATATATAGAAAAAAAATTGCATATTAAAAGAGCGAGCATTTTAAATGAGTTTGATAAGCTTTGTTCAGTGTCCGATTAAAAAGAATACTTCTTAATAGTTAACACTATTTCTTTCAAATATACAAGGGTCAATTACTTGGTTCTTCTCAATGTCTTCTTTTAATTGGTATAATGATTATTTATGTGCGTAGATATATGTATATATGTATATGTGTATATATATAAATGTAATCTATATATATATATATAGATTAGATTTTTTTTTATAGAGATGTATAGGAAAAATTGCACATTAAAAGGGACGAGCTTCTTTTTTTGTTTTAAGCGCATATCTTTTATATTTAAATATTGAAATGCCTCAATTTTATTGTGGATATTATTTAGGAAAATAAAATTAAAAAAAATTACACATAACATACAAAAGTAATTAACTACCTTGAGAAAATCCCATAACAAATACCAAATAGATTGCAACGAATCTAAGCAGATCACCCATGATCATTCTGTAAATCATTACAACGAATGGACCAACGGTTTTGAAGCCTCTACAAAAAAATAAAAAATATGGTGCTGTCGTTAACATGACGACTACAGCAAGCATATCTTCAACTTCGTCGGCGCAAGTTAATCTCAACGCTGGAAATGAAAGTAAAAGGCAACAGGAAAATAAAAACATTACTCGGGATGGTGCTGTCATCTGCAAAATAAATCATTGCTATTATATTTATTGTTAATTTTTTGTTTATAGAATATAGTGTTAAAGAAGAAAATTTTTTTTACGAGATTCTCGATGAACATATTCAATCCTAAAAATCTTGCTTCCCTTAAAGCAGCCGCGATATAAAGAACAGCAGCAATTTCCATTAACACTTCGGCTATCAAACGAATTTTTGCTGTAGCAGAATTTAAGTGCATTAATCTGCATTCTTCTGTAAACGTTTGCCACCTGTTTTGTAATCATATTTAATTTGAAACAATCTTTTCATAGAAAAATTAATCTCAACATTTTCTTACAAGTATTTCTTTTTATTTTTCTCAAATATTTTGCAAAATATTTTTTTTTATTATATCAATTAATATTTATTTTTAGTTTATTAATCATTAGACAATCCGATAAATATTCCTAATTTTACTTACCAACTTTTCTTTTTATTAATTTCAGTAACACCATTGAAACCACTACCCCTCATCGTAGAATTGAATTTAAGTAAATCATTGATTGTATTGATGCGATTAATCGTGCTAATATTTAGATGATTTTCATTATTCAAAGTGTGATTAATAAAGCTCCCATCTAATCGATCTAAAGTATTATTTTCTTCTAACGTCGATAATAGAATTGGTAACAAAGCATCTTTCAATATCAAAGTCATATTCGACATTAGTTGCAAAGAAATTTTATCTAGAACATTGTTAGAATTTTTTGCTAATTTTGTTTCCAAGAGTAAACTCGTAGTTAGATTTTTAGCAATCGACTCTGAGAGATCATCAACTCGCAATGATTTTAAAATTCGTCTAGTTTCCATGATCATTGGATCGGAAATATTAAAAGTTGGATCGGTACTTGCAACGGTCGTTGGTGCGGCAGGATTTTCCAACGTCCATGATGGTCCAGGACGTAAAGTAAAACTTATTAGTGATAGAATGAAGTAGAAACAAAATAGATAAAATTGTTGATAAAATCTATATAAATTTTAAAAGATTTCAGTATAATTTTCCGATTAATTAATTATTTTATTTTTTTTATTACTGACCGATCCTTTACGAAAGTATTCCATTTAGCATTTAAAAGATCAACCAGAGTACCGTCCAATAATTCTAGATGCTCGTCTTTGTCCTAAATAAATAAGAAAAATAATACTATAATTTGTATATTTATTTTTGTTAATCATATTTAGTTTTACTAAATTCTATTCAAACTTACGCCAAAAACAACGAGATTTAGAGCAGAATTATGACTAATATTTCCTGTGTTCACGTCAATCGTATCAACTTGCGATAAAGGGTAAGCCGCACACGTTATACTTCCTATTTGCCAATAAATTTCTCTCTCGATATTTAAAATGTGAAAGAACATTTCAACTCTCCCTAATTTAGCTGATAATGTTAATGGTGTTAAGTGTTGAACATTTCTAATAGACAATGATGCACCAACTTCGTAAGCCATGTCAAAAGTTGCCTATAAAAGATTCTTTTTGTAGTTAAGTCATTTATATTACATCATTTATATTTATTGTAATAAGGGTAATATGAATTTTTTGAATTTCGCGCTTGGAGATATGCAAAACTTTATTCTAGTTGATAATATAGGTAACTGCTGCTAGAAGTTGGTAAGCTAGTTTTATTTAACTCTTTCGATAGACAACTCGTTTTACACGCTTCAAAAAATGTGTTGCCTATCGAAGGGGCACAAGAAAATTTGTTTACCGATATTATCGACAATTGCAACACAAAAGTGTTGCATAGTTGCAGGCGCATATATTTCACATTTATATTAATTATAGACAATTGATAAATAAATAAGAAAAGTAATAAAAATTACCGCTTTTTCATAAATGACGAGCATATGCAATACAGTATTTCCATTGGTATCTTGTTTATCAGGATCAGCACCTCTTGCTAATATGAGCCTGTAGCATTCCTCTTGACCTAAACATGCTGCAAAATTGAGAGGATATTCTCCCCAATAAACGTATCTAATAAAAAATCCATTAAAATTAATGAAGAATAATCGACTTCCATTTTTTATGTCCATTAGTTCAGATTTAATTGTTATACCCGCTGTAATTCGTTTCGGGGGCAACGCAAACCCACTCGTGATCCAAACTATCATATCTCGAAGCTTTCTGATCTTCGGGAGACATGAAATTACCGAAGCAACGTTCGTGAACGTCAGCTCCACTATCTAAAAGATATTTTACCATAGCTGGATCTTCATTAACAATTGCTATGTGTAATACATTTTCCCCTATTAAAAATGGAATAAAATAAATTGTAAATATTAAATCGAATTTGACAGTCGATCTGACAATAACTTTTTGAATCATTTCATCGTTATCATTATGCAGTGTAAAAGGAGTAGTCGTGACCTTCGTCTATCGAAACATCCACCTGGTTTAGGTACACGTACTTGGCTGATGCACGCAAATAAGCACGTAAATAGATTATGACTAACTATAAGGTATTTGTGATATAATGAAAAAATAAAAAAAATACCACGACATAGGTTAGGAAAATCAACTTGACCTCGATGTTAAATAACTTCACGATGTATAAAAGTCGTAAAATTAATTGCAGTAGATTTGCCAGAGGCCGTACGTTAATGTCTCGTCTTAGAGATTCTAATCGTTAATGATTATAACGTGTATAGGTATGGTACGATTGATTGATTGTTGAATTATTAGACATTGATGATTATACCGTAACGACATTAAATCGATAAGAACCTACTCGTGATTTGAAGTTTTAACGTATTCATGAATGTGTAATATTGTATATGTTAGTTTCATTATAGATTTTAACTGACTCACCGTAATATTCATCGCTTATGTAAATGTCATTTATGAGATTCGGATAAAAGCGTAACAGTCTTTTTGCCAAGTCCGCGTGAATGGCTGTCGCGTGCAACATACACAAATGTAAAATAGTTTCACCGACTGCTCCTCTTTCGCTCAAACTCCAACATACTAATCTGTGCTTGCTTTTATCTATTAGAAAAATTATTTAATAAATTTTTACAGGTATCTCATAACTAAATAATTGAATACTCTTTATAATTAATATTTCTTACCTATTTTAGTCTCGTCAACGTCATCATCATTCAAATCTTTGTCTATATCGTAATCCGCTGGATTTTCCATAGCCTTTAACGGTGGTAACTGAAATTATTTGTTTCAATATTAAATCATTATGATTTTAAACGTATTATCTATTTAAAACATATTGTTGACAGTTAGTTATATACCATTTTATGTCTCGGCCGATCTTTATTTCTTAATAACACTAATTTTTCAATCGGTATCCATTTACCTTTCCCTTTGTTGTATAAAAATGGTTCTACCTTCGTTCTCAAGGCATGATCTAATTCCGCAAATTGTTTAGTTTGCGTAGCTCTCTTCATCATATCCACGAATAATCCACCCCCTATAAATATGAATGAGTATCACATTCTTAGATATTGAAATAAGATCAACTCATTATCTTTCTCTTTCTTTTTCGCTTATTCCTTTTACGATTTGTTTAATTTCACAGGGTTGAGAATTAAAAAATGTTCGGGCATCATTCTTTCTTTCTCTCGTTGATATAGTAAAATGAAATCTGTGATGTTCGAAGGCACGTTAATCTATTACGTCATATCTGCGAGTATTTAGATCGTCAAGTTGAGCACTTGCGAATATCGAAGCAGCGGTAACACTTTACTTTTCAAACTTAGCACGTATGACTCATGGATAATAATGGATTTAGAAAGAACGAGGTAGACATTTTAACGATTCGTTTATAATAATTATTTGTATAATCTAATTTGTCATATTTATAAATGCGTATATTTATATTCTTATCGCACTCATCAATAATGATTTTGATTATTTATATACTCTGTTTATTTGTCGATGATTCTCTCCGAAAAGCTTCATTCACGTTTTCGTGTCAAGGATAATATGCTAAAGATAAAGATGTAAATTTGTAATAAATTCTTTTTAGCTTTTATCTTTATGAATTCATCGACCTCAACGTGTCAATATTTAATATTTTTCAGGAATATTTATTTTTTATCTATCAAAATTTAAGAGAATATTTTAATTTTGATTTATATAGATGTTTATAATCAAATTATTTAATTGTTTAATATTTCATTAGTTTGAATATTTTATCATATTTTTCGCGAAACGTATATAGCGTCATCTATTAGACGTTCATGCAATGAATTTCATTTTGTTGACTTATCTACTGAGTTATGTTCTTTCCGTACTCTAATAATTATTTATTTGTTTTGAATATTATTGTAAAATATTTGTATTTTTATTTATGATATTATTTGAATTTTATATGTTTTTATGTTTCATGGTAAATATTATAAAAATGTTATTATATTTATTAAAATGACTTACCTTTCAGATCTACAAATTTATAAAGCACTATAGACGATGTATCCGTTTGTTTCTTGACACTACTTGCGACATTGCTCTCGGTATTTCCCATATTAATTAATAAAAATAATCAATATTTATTCCAGAACAAGAATAATTAATTAAAACGAAGAATCGAACTGATATACTTTCAATACCACTTCGGTTACCATGGAAAGTTCCTTCGTTATTGATTACACTAATTCAGATTCATACATTCGCATAACTTGATATTAAAATTATTTGTAATAAATATGACATTTCTTATAGCATGCCATATTACATTTTCATACCTTATTTCAAATTCTAGTTACATTTGTATAGATTTTACGTATACATTTTATAATTGTTATTTATTAGAGATAATATCAAAGATACGACGAAATAAAAACCACAATTTTTGTCAATTTAATTCTTAATAACAGAATTATCCAGAAGGATATCCTTTTCGGTTTTGATAAATAAAATCGTAAATCCTGTTGGATTAAAGCCACAAGACGAAAATTATAATAAATGATAAAAAATTCCACAACGGTAAAAAGTTTAACCACATCCTTAAAACAATGTTTTATGTGTATTCTAATTTTTTGTTATATATTCGACAATTAAGGTATTTGCTTGTGTAAAATTAATATTTTATTTATGTTATTGTGTGTGTATATAAAATATATAATGATTTATTATTATATTTATTATTATTTGTGGTGGTAGCAGTAGTTATATGCATCAATAATTTATATTGTTGTACTATTATTATTATTATTATTATTATTAGTATTTATAGTATGCTTACGTAAATATTGTGAAATAAAAAAAAAAAAGTAATAATTACTTTAATTGATAAATAGAGTGAAAAAAAAAATAACTATTAACCCGATTTGGGTTATAGTAGGCCCCGGAGGGATTCGAACCCTCGATCTCCTGTTTACTAGACAGGCGCTTTAACCAACTAAGCCACGGCGCCGATGTGAATACAACTACAATATGCCTAATTTAAGTAAAATTATAGTATTTTTATATGATATGTATATTTTAATAATTAGAAAATCATGTTTTTTATACTACAATAAATATTACAATAAAAACTTATCATATTAATAGAATGCAAGTAACAATCAAAATAATGAAAGAATATGTATAAATAATGATAGTTAAATAATTCTATAATTATTTTACAAATATACTTATATCGATTAATATTATTAAGTAATAAATTTACAATATGTGCTATAAGAAGAAATTATAAGTGAAAAAAAAATAATCAATGAAAGCTCACAAATAGGATCGTAAATCTATTTATGATCTTTCTAAAAAAAATAGAATTTTTAAAAAATACTTTCGAATAAACGCGCCTAGGAAGAGCGTTTAAAAATCAATTGGACTATTAATAAAGAAGATGGTGTATGTATACACACATGTATATACAGTGTTAAAAAGCGTGAAAATTCGTATGAGTTGTGTGTCTATTATCCATGCTTCTCAACGTATATAATAATACATAATAAATTATCCGAGAATGAATAAGTGGAAAGTTTTTTTGAAATAGTTCAATGATTTTTTTTATTATTTTTTGATTGCGCCCAGCCATTTTTGGTGCGATCAATCATGGTAAGAAATTTCCATTGAACAGAAGTAAGCAAGCCTTCGACCCACATTTCGTAGCATTAAATTACTTTCCACGAAGAAAAATCTTCTACCAAGATCTATTTATAAAGATCAAGTATATGGATACTTTAGTAAGAGGAGTGCAACTAATGCGCATGCTTTTTTGAGTGGGGATATATATAAATATATACATATACATATACAATTCGCTGCGTCACCAAATTTTTAAGGAGATAATAAAGTATTCTTTTATCGAGGACGAGACCTAAGTAAAACGTTTAAGAACATTACTATGATCGCGGAATATTGTATTCAATTTCGTTGCTTACATGCATTATTCATATGTTCATAAGGATTTTGGTCATTTATTCAATATTATTTTATTCGATTTCGTGTGAGAAAACTTTGTATTACTTTTAATTATATATTTTATTACGTTATTAATGATTTTTATTTGAAAATCATTCATGTGTTTCTATATGTTTATACTTTATAAGATTGAGGTCATAATTTTGACTTATATTCTTTGTAAAATTCAAGGTTCTCAACAAGTGGCTTGTGGCTCGTTGGTCTAGGGGTATGATTCTCGCTTAGGGTGCGAGAGGTCCCGGGTTCAAATCCCGGACGAGCCCGTCATTTTTTTTTTCGATTTATTTCTTTAAATGCATTTATGCATCTTATATTTACATATATTATATGTATTTTATTAACTAATTACCTGTTTAATATTCTTTTTCTATAATATAATTTAAAAAACAATTAATTATTCTTTATCGAGACTTTGTTAGATTAGTTTTTTTTTAGATTGTAAAACAAGTCTAGAAATCTTTGGTTCAGCAGAGTAAACAATAATATTACATTAACAAGTAAATTATTGAAAATTTGGAAATATTGTTTTTTTTTAAAAACGCAGATTACATTTGAAGTCTTCTTATATATCTCATCGTTTATTTAAATAGTTTCAATTTTTGAATGTTATAATATTTCTTAATGTTAATGAAATATTGACAACAATGTAAATTTGTAGCACGCATTAATTTTCGCTTTGGTTTGTTTCACTCATGCGACTAACAGTAAGTTACTTTCTTAGAGCTCTCTTATCGGCTGGTAGCGTTGGAATAAAAAGATGCGAGTAAATGCTCGATATTGAATTTACGATAAGATTATAAACGGCCTATTCGAATTTTTATTTATACGTCGTTTATCCTGCGGCATTTTAAAAGAAATTGTATGATTGTTAAAAACGATTGAGTATTCTCTCTAATTAATTAGAAAAATTGTACTCCTTATCTGTCTTCGAGAACATACTTGACATCTCTTTTATTCTAACGTTTTCAAAACTACTTAAGCAATTAGAAGAACAAAGTAATTAAAAGAAAAAAAGAACATAAAACTGCAATAATAAACATTAAAACCGAATAAGCATGTTATAAATACAATTACAACAAACTTATCTTTTTCTTAGTATATATATATATATATATATATATATATATATATATATCTGGGTACGATTTTAACTATTCAATAGATCCTTTAAATAGATAAAATTGAGATTTCTAATTCGTTCATAAGTGCTTTAGAAATAAATAAAACAGTCTCTTTTTTACAGAGTAAAAAGCATATTAAACAAAAGAAAAATTGCAAGGCTAGCAGATATACCAAAGAATGCATACAAACACAAACATACCCACACATACATATACACACACGCGCAAAACCCAAATATATACACCATCCTCCATGCGCATGTAACGCAAACTAATAAAAGTTAAAGATAGATAAATTCGTGATACATAATAAGAAGTACATAACTTCCTTATAAGGTCATATGTGTGATAAATCTAAAAGAAGAGAGCATGATTCATAACAATATCTGCATTCTTAGTATATTAGCACAATTTCGTCTTCGCATTTCTCTGACATTAAGCCGCAAAGAGATCCACCATGTAAGAGCAAGAAAGAAAGAGAGAGAGGGAGAGAGAGAGAAAGGAAGAGAGAAAGAGAGAAAGGGAAAGAGAAAGAGAAAAAGGAAGAGAGACTTGCTGAAGAGACGTTTACTTATATATTATATCATCCATGTGTGTTGCGTGGCGGGTTCGAACCGAATTGTGATACGGAGACTTAGTTTAGCTTGCGTTTACCTACCATCTCAGCGGGTCAGTTAGGCGCGCGCTTTCAAGCTGCCAGCAGTAGTGAACACACAACTCTTGTCATCGCATCCCTCTCTTTAAGAACGTGTAATCGAAAAAACAAAAAGAAAAAAAAAGAAAAGATACAACAGAAAAAAGAGCTGATATTTTTTTTTGTCTTTTTAAATTTTAAACGAACACTCGCTGTGATATTGTTTTCAATATTATTTTTTTAAACACAATTTTGTCTTTTGCTATTGCTACTTCTTTTTCTGTATTTTTCTTCTTTTTTTTTTTTTTTAAGTAACGTATTATTTCGCACGAAATCTTCATTTCATGAGTTTCCTTACGACGACGATCACTTCTTAGTGTTACATTCCAATCGAGGAACAGGAAAGAAGATAGTCCTCTCATTTGCATCTCCTTTGGAGAAACTTCGAGTAAGTGATGAGTTTTATCTTCCTTTTTTTTCTTTGTTTTTTTTTTTCTTTCTTTATATTCTCTCTTTCTTTCTTTTTTTTTTGTATGATTCTTTTTTAAGTATGTAAATTGTATGTTTGATTAAACTCCGTGTGTCTGGTTTATCGATAAGAATACTTCGATGTAGCAACCCTGACATGTAATTAATTAAATAACAAAAGTATCAATAAATATATGACACCTTCTCTCTCTCTCTCTCTCTCTCTCTCTCTTTCTCTCTTTCTCTTTCTTTCTTTCTTTCTTTCTCTCTCTTTTCGATAATCAACATAATATTCCATGAAGATGCTCATTGACTTGCTAAATACAACGTCAACTCCGAACGAGGCTTCTTTCAGCCACGTATCTTTCCTTCTCGCGAAGAAAATTATAAAATGGTTCGGTTAAAATATTACCTAAGTTTAACGAACGATAATTTTGTTTATACGATCAACAAAGGCTTTCTACTAAACGGCCCCTCCCTCTTCAGCTGCCCCTCCAGCCCCACTGCCCCGTTATTGGCACTTTTTCTTTTTTTGGCAATTTTTTGCCCTCTTTTCTCTAGATCATTTTTTTTCTTCTTTCTTTCTTCAATACAAACAGAAACGTGCATAGCACTCGCATCTGCGGGTTACGCAATTAACGTATCCTCCTTACTACGAAGGTTCAAATGCTAAGATGATTTTGAAATTTACGTGAAAAAATAACGAAGAGAGGACAACAGGTGGGAAAGAGTAAATGAATCTGGAGGTGGTTTAAAAAGAAAAGAAATTGATTACGAACCAGTTATCTTTATCTTTCGAAGATGTTATCTATGATGTCTTAGTCTTGTTGCAACACGAATAAAAATAATCGCCGGATTGTTTGTTTTCTTTGACGCGTGTTTGAATTTCTATTCTGTTTGGGTGGGTGGGTGGCTGTTGGGTTAAGTGGAGGAATATTTTTGTTCATTTTTGAAAAAATACGAATAAAATTTAACGTTGCGTAAAAGTGCTTTCGATAACTTCACGATAAATATAATCGGTATCATGTAATCGATAATTAATGAGAAACTTTGGAAGAAATTTTTGTGTAATTTAACTCTTCGAATAGTATTTTATCGAAATTGTTTATGACAGAATAATAATAATAATAATGAATAGATAGATTTTATTTTTATATATAACATTAGAAACTCGTAGAATTAAGAAAATATTGTTGTTACTATCTCATACGCAATTTTTTTGTCTGGAATAAGAAGAATAATGAAAGTACGTTAAATTGCAATTTCATGAAGCAACGAGATGCGAATAATATCAGTCAGATATTGACAATTCGCATCGGCGCCAAACTAATACGAGTATGTTACCTTCTTTTCATATCTCAACTGTTCTGTAATTTTATGCTAAGAACGATAAGAGGAGTGTTTTTTGTTTTTTTTGCAAAAGAAATACACACCACAAGTATTTACATAACTTGAAAACATATATCGATCGAGGCGTAAGGTAGAAAATGATAAAACATAACAGATTAAAAATCGTAATAAGAATTCTTCCGATCGTTAATAATACGATTGACAATGTCATTTATATTCATTTAGTTATTTATAAAGTCACGGCCAATGTTTAATTATTTTCTTTTCCTTTTTTTTTTGTTATTTCTAAGATCAATTATTTCTAACGCGCGGAAGCGAAATAATGTTCACCCACGCTGGTTTTAATTTGAAGGAGAAGAAAAAAAAAACAATAAGAAAAAATAAGAAAAGAAAATAAATTGAATGGTCAATCAAACGGCAGGATGATTAGTGATATCGATAATAATTAAGGATTTTTGTTTGTTTGTAAGAGAGATTATATATATATATATATATATTCGTTTATGTCGCACGAAAGCGGAATTTGCTCGCCCACGTTGATTTCAATTTGAAAATAAAAAAATAAGAAAGAAAAAATATTAATTAAGTGAATAATCAAGCGTACGGTGAATAATAAATGTTTAATGGTTAACATCGATATGAAAAAAAAAAGAAAAAGAGAGGGAGAGAGAGAGAGAGAGAGATAGGAAGGCCACGTGAGATCCATCGAAGGTAAATCGAATTCCACCTTCGTGGAATAAATCGACGTCTACGTTGCTCTTCCATAGCGTACCACGAGAGAAGAATGTTAAAACATAGTTCGAGAGTGAGGGAGAGAGAAAGAGAGAGAGAGGGATACTACGAGACAGCGAAAATGTTAGCATTACTTAACGGTATAGCGTGTTATCTCCATGATCGTTCTCGTCACGGAAAATCGATTAACGTTAAACGTGCCTCGATACGATTCCATTCGTCGTCCATCTTTGACATTATTTTTTAACAATTTTGTCTATTAATTTTGTATATTTCTTTTTGTATTCATAATTTTTTACATTATATAATTCATTTTTCATAATTTTTAATATTTATTCTATGTTAATATATATAAAAGATAAGAAAAATAATTATTTAAACTAACGATAAGAATTATCTAACAATATTAGAGTGAACCTTGATGAAAATAAACTTTCGTTTTTTTTTCTTATCGATTTCATAAGAAAAAATTATAACGTTTTGGGTTTTTTGGTAAATGGTAAGAAAAAGGGATTGAAAAATATGATTTAATCCTTTGCACTATGATGTGTCATCTATGGGGATGACAAAATTACTTCTCTCTAGAGTTTCTAAAACAAAACAAATCAGTAAGTAAAAGTTTGATTGAAAAAATGCATACGAACCTTATTTTTCAGCACCGTTGTATGAAATTGAAAAGTATCATATTTAAAAAACAATATATATAATAAATGTAAACAATGTACAAACGAGATATCACAATAAAAAAAATTAAATTAAAGTTGGCAGAGAACGAACTAGAAAAAAAAGGAAAACATTATAATAATAAGGATTAAAAGTTTACAAAAAACATTTTGTTTTCTATTTTAGATATAATATGATAAACATTTACTATCGTATTTCAACGATAAACGTTAAAACGCAACCATACGGATAAGTACTTAGAATTTGATCGTCAGATAAACCGAACAACGAAAGTGGGCCACTCGTGAGTAAGGTTGGTGCGTTTAGAAAGACATTGCACTTCGATAAAATTAATCTATGCCAGACGAAGATCGTTCCGTCATGATAAGAAATTCAAACAGTTTAGCATTACCCTTTCTCAAATGTGATAGTAATTAAAAATAAGCGTTGTACAAGACGTCATCGTCTATTACTCTCATAGTATCGTGTAATAAAGGTTCTCTTGTTTGGCATGACAAAATAGTAATTATAGTAATAGAATTTATGTGCATATATCCATGCACGTTTATTTATCCATGTAAAAACTTTAAATAGACGTCGTTAAACGTTGACATCATTGAGTAATTCTTCAAAAAAGAAAAAAAGAGAAAAAAAAAAAAGAAAAAAGAAAAACAAACCAAAGAAATAAAGAAAAAAATAAAAATAAAAAACGATGAGATTGATAAAAGAAAACGATAAATATTTTCGTACAATTTTATATAACAAATAAGAGAGACAACTCTCTCTAAAGGCGAACGAAACATGCCTAAATACGTATACACCAAATACATCGTACGCACGCACGCACGCAAAGCACGCATTCTCGTAATATGTTCATTTTTATTTCGAGAAATGAGTCGATAAAAAAAATGCTACTATAATTTTTGTTCAAAGGTCACGGTTAATCAGTTTAACAAGCAATTAGTAGATCTCGAGGGATTTCATAAGCCCAAATATAATTCACGTGTAATATATTCAATTTTATCTTTCCTTCTTTCTTCTTTTTTCTTACTTTTACATATTTTTGCGAACTTTTTATCTATCATTAAGAGAGAAAAAGAGAGAGAGAGAGAGAGAGAGAGAGAGAGAGAGAGACAGAGACAGAGAAATAAAGAAAAAAAATATTCAAAAATAGAAATAAAAATAAAAATTAAGAAATGATATAAAGGGTCATCATATGATCCGTGATACAAAAAAATGTTGAGGAGCGAAAAAGATAAGTACTTTCTCTCTCTCTTTCTCTCTCTCTCTCTCTCTCTCTCTTTCTTTCTTTCTCTTGTGATTACTTACGTCTATGCATACATTGGTCAAAGATAGATGGAGGATCGGTGCGGAATTGTCATCGCTATATTTACTTTTGGTACGCGTACTCTCACAACACTTAATTGTCAACCACAATACTCAGACTGCGTTAACAAGTAATTGTTTTAAAACCATTACGAATGTAAGTTAATTGATCCATGTAACAATACTCATTTCGACTAATCTTATGAAACAACGTGACTTTTATGAATTATAAAATCATGTGTACTTCCTATTATTATTTTTTTTTCTTGTTTTTTATATTCCTATAACGAAATTCAACGAAATGATACGATCGATTTTCTTTCTAATCATCGTGTGAATCATTTCCTAATCTCTCTAATCTTATTATCGTATTTACATGTAATAACGTCTTTTTCTTTTTTTTTTGGTCATTTTATCTAACCTTTTCTATGAAATGATTGATTTCGTTTGCTATATGATTAATTCTACACAACGGTAATAGCATAGTAAAGTTTAAAAATATTCAATTAATTTATGACTTACGTAACGCGAATAACATTGATCATTTTAAGATAATGTTCGTACAAGATCACGTCTCTATACGGGGAAAAAAAAATAAAGAAATCCAATCTTTTATCTCAATTATTTGATTATCAATTTTTCATTGATTTGTTTCTTTGTTTTTTGGTTTGGTATTTTTTTTTTTTTTTAGAAGCAATACAAATATAGTTTTGGGTCTCTCGGGTACTAGAAATAAGAATTGGGTAGCATTCGCTAACAATTTGGCCGTTGAATTAAGGTGCTTTGGCCGTACGCCTAATACTCCTACTGTCTTTCGTAGAATTACCAAGTTTTTTCCATCCCTTTTTTTATTCATTCTTTTAATGTCATTCTCGTACTATTTCTTTTTTTTTTTTTTTCTTCCTGCGT